ATTAGCGCCACCTTCTGCAACCTCGAACAGGCAAAATGATACGTGGAGAAATAGGCAGATTGTGTTTTTGGTTTGAATGTTTGCAATACTTGCATTTAATGAATGCATACCTTAACTAAAGGTCATTTTAATGAAATATCAGAAATATAATCTTAAATATTTTATTCCGAAGCAATTTTTTGAGCAGTAGTAGATTTTGTGCAGAAAAGAGCTAACAATTTTTTGCATGTTCCATGTGAGCTATCTAAAACTGTGTTTCTTAGCTGGTAAATCTTAATATAAAAATACTGTTTGAGGTTTTATCTTATAATGATGTAAACAAAATCCTCATTAGAAAAATGTAAAAATAGGATTCAGACCAAAAATGAATGGGTCATCCTGATTAGGAAGACTAATCAAGCTGATATCAGGATGTTGCCTTGAATCTGAAAATGTGCTAAGATCATTTTGACCAAACTTAACTTAATCCATGTGATGTGATAGGTCACATATAGCTTTTTGAAATAGTAATAATGATGACGATGATGAAAAGAATAATTTTTCCATGCTTCCCCCACACACACACTTGAAAGACAAGCAAAAAACAAAACACAATGAATTAAAATAAATTAAACGTTTATTTTATGGCTTAATATGACTTGTTTTTTACATTACATAAACTCTGTTTCAATCAATATTGGAGGCAGGACCATATTGTACAGATGCACTAGACAACAAAAAAAAATGCTCCACTGACTGCAAAAATAACGATTATAATTTTAGTGCTGAAAATGTATCCTAGGGAGTTTTATTTTGTAACTGTGCTGCTTTTTAGACTCACAGGAAGTCATTGGTAGAAAACTACAAGCAGGGAACTACAGAAACCTTCCTTCTCTGCTTTGCATATAACATTAGTACATAAGTCATATGAGTGATGTTTCATAAACTTTTGCATTGCTGTTTGGCAATGATAATATTCCTGCTGGAAATATAAGCTGCACCAAACGTGCTACAGCTAGCTTCTGATGTCACTATTTATACTTGTAAAGCCAACTTAATGGTGATGCAGTAGTGAGATTTATGCTGTTGTCCTATTTCCCCCCAACATTATTGTACATTCTTGACAATAGCCAACCATTTGGAAATATATAGGGATGCCCTTTTCTCATTATAAAAACTGAGTTCCAACACAGACAAAAAGACAAATAAACAAACATACTCACCATATAGTACTAATATAAAGTACAGCCTTAAAACTCTTTGACTTTATACTGTAAGCTTTTACAGAATAACAAGCAAAGACATAAGACAGCAGCCAAATCAACACAAAAGTATACAAATCACTGAATCCATGAAATCGATACGTAACATCTGAGCTCTTTATCTTAAGATTAACACCACACATATGGTCAYGTCTTTATGGCAAATCAAGCAAATAAATGAAGGTAAAAATCTCTTTCAAACACATGCAGTCCTTGTTTTGGGGGAAAAAGACAGAAAAAGAAACGTTTCATGTAGGAGCATCTTTATCTGTAAAAAGGCCAGTTTTCCTGACACAGCYGAAACAGATGCGTCAACACAGCCAGCCCAGAACGATCACTTTGTGTTTGATGTTTGGAGAAACTCAGCAGGAAGGGGCTGTTGAGCGTTCCACTCCAGTCCTGTCATTAGTGTCACTGCAGGAGATTCTGGTTGGATCCAGAGCGCAGATCCTGGATAGAACAGGAAGAGGGAGGAGAGACTGGAGGTACGGCACATATGCACCCATGCACACACACTCAGACCAAGCCCTCTGATTTCATTTTTTTTTCTTTTTTCATRTTTTCGTCTCCTTCATTTCAACTTGGCCTACATCACATTTTCAAACAGCTGCATKGATCTCATCATATTTTCATCCTGGGGAGAGAGAAGATAAAAACACATATTAAATTGTCAKCAAATGTCTGCCTGGAAATCTGATGTTTTGACAAAGTGCAGTAGATGATGGAACATTGTAAATGGTTTGTTGATTCTTACCTTTTGGCAGGCCATAACAAACTCCTCCATAGTCACAACTCCATCTTTATTCTTATCCATTTTCTGTGGGAAAATCAACAGCAAGATGTTAATATTAGGTTTTAGAGAATTTGATTCATTAGAAAATTAAAAGCTTAGCTTTCCRAGAAGGAAAGTATTTACATGGAGGTCCGATAGAGTCACATTGTGGACATATTCTGCTGCTCACTGAYATGGCCAGTACTAACACTAGACCTGACGTGAGACTATTTAATATAGAAATAGTCGGCAGCAAAACCTGCTGTGTGGATTTTCTGTTAAAAGTTTTTGCGACTAAATTTAGAAAAGAAAAAAAAACCTAAGTAGCAGCTTGGAGCAGACACACCAGGCATGAACCGGACACAGTAAGACAGAGAGGATGAAGCATATGGGGTACCAARGGTAAAATAAAATGTTAAAAATGTCACTAGCCCATTTTCGTTATAGCTCACTTTGAATA